GGCATAGACCCCACCAGAAAGCACCGAGCTGCACCTAATGGTCCTGTGCACAGGTTCCTGTGACTCCCTAATGAACTGGACTTTCTGCAGTGCTGGTAATCACAGAAGAAATGGGCCAAGCACAGCCAGAGCTCTGTGCTTAACCCTTCGCAGGCTGCAGCATCAAGCATAAGACTCTACAGTAGTGTCCCTCACAGTCACCGTGCCCACCTTCCTCTGCTGGGGCACTGGTGCGCGCCTGTCATCCCAACACTCAGGAGGCTGAGGCAGGAAGATTGCTCCAAGTAAAGGCCAGACTGGGCTATTTTAATTTTTTAAAGATATTTTTGACCTGGGAGACCATGGTGCCATTGAGAAAGAGTGAATGTAACCACAGCCAGCTGACATGGTCCCATGGTTTGGCAAAGTCCACCTTTAAGGATTGACAATCCAGGCCTGAGCCGTGGGTCCAGAGGCTCAGTCTCCATCAGGTCAGTGGGGGTGGGCAATGCCCCGTCTGCGGCCTCTGGTGTGCCCCTACCCTTGCTACTAGACTCCAGGCCAGGAATTCACCTGTTCACACTGTGGGACCCCATCTTCAGACAGATCTGGAGCTCCAGAGAAAGTGGGAATGGTGAACCACTTGGCTTCGTTTTTTTGTTTGGGGAGGAGTTTGGGTTTGTTCTGAGTTTGGAGGCCATATTGGACACCCCAGCAGGGATAGGATGCCTGTGGGCAGGGATCCCATAAGGTTGTGTTGTTTATGTGAAAGGGATATAGTACACACCTAGGCAGGAGGGTAGGGACAGTTAGACCAGAACATGTCCAGTCACAAGTGACCATGGTGATCAGCTGGGTGATGTGGGATCCGGTGAACGAAAAAGCAGTGTCCGCCTACAGCTGGGGACAAATTTTCTGTCCCCCTTAGGACTGGTACTTTTTAGGGATGCCACGCCCACAACCCCAGCAGATGCTGGTCACCCAGAAACAGGCTCCGTGTTCCGCCCTGGTTCCTTGCAATGACTGAGTTGTCGCTGTCACACTGGTGGAGCAGGAGGGTCCCTGCAGTAACATGCTGTTCGGGTTGGTGGTTTTATTGAGCCACGTTTTAATCATCTCCTCTCTAGCTGCTGCATCCCCCAACTCACTGTTGTACACTAGTGAGTTCAAGCGTAACCCAGCTTCTCAGAACAGAACAGCCTCCAACCAGAGCTCAGAGCCAACAAAGGATCCTGGGAGCCCAGGTGGCCTCACCACTCTATGCCCAGCCAAGTTTTGAGTGAGGCAGTGGGAACCCCTGGGGGGCACAGCAGAACCTCCATTCCTGACACAGCTCTGAAGGAGCTGGGGCACCACAGGCCTGGAAAAGTGTGTGTGCCCCTACTATAGATAAGACACTTTCATGGTACTCAACTGCTGGAGATGCTTGGCTCACAGATACAGTCTGCTCACGGGGCTGATCCTGGGCCCCAGGAGCATGGGGGCAAGGCTCACCTAAGTGCAGAGCCTTGGACCAGCTGCTTAGGGAAAGTGTGGGACCTTAAACTGCTAACTGTGCCCTGTGTTTGCCAGCCACACACAAGTGTTTCACTCCTGTGTCTTGGGTAGCCAGGGAAGACAAGTCTTCTAGTGTCTCTGATGATGTCAATGACCACAAGGACCTGTGGGGTAGATAAGGGGTCTCCACCAGTCCTGTGTGGGGAAGTGAATGGTGACACAGATGGTGTAAAGTGAAGGTGCCTAGAGCGGAGCAGGCTACATGCTTTGAGGAGCACCAGTACCCAGTAGTGAGGACCACTGGGGAAGCAGGGTGCCACTGTCGACAGATGGGGTCTCCTGTGCAGCAGCATGTTGAAGGTGTCTGCTGTGTGTGGACACCTGTGACTGCAGTAGGGTGCAGAGTGCAGTGCAGGTGCAGTGGTGGCTGCAGGGTGCCATTTGTTCACATGTGTGGGGAGGTCGGTCCCATGGGTCTCCCTAGAGTCTGCATGCAGAATTGGAGGCTGGTCCAGGTTGGCTGTCCAAGCTTGACTCCGGGTTTGTCTGGTGTCCACCTCAGAAGAAGAGTGTGGCAGGGCCATCCTCGGAGTCTGCGGAGCCACCCCTGTGCCTTGAGTTCCCTTGGCCAGTCTGTGTTCATTGTCCACACTGCACATTCCAATTCTTCTTTGCTGTGAGTTCTGTTGAGCCTCTTGGGTACCATATCAGATGGGCCTGGAGAGCATGCCCTGCAGGTCTGGGAAGCACGGGCCAGGGCGCCATACCTCAGATGTGCTGTGCTTCATGAAGGCCTGGCCTTGTCCTGTGTGGCCACTTCCTATTAGGCAGTTGTGGAGGCTCCTAGAGGAACTGTCTCAGAGCGGAGCTGAGAATAACAGTCTGGCAACTGGGGTACAGGCATTGCTTCCCTCTGGCTACTTCCAGATGGTGATAGGGACAGGAAACAGAAGTGGGGATCCCAGGCGCTGGGGGGCAAATGTCCCTCTCTTTCATGGCCCCAGCAGCAGGAGATTCAGAAGGCATTTCTGTGCTTCCCCCAGGGCCTGCACGATGCACAAAGGTATCCACACTTAGAAGACGGCAGGCTTGCAGTCAGCTTTGGGGTTCTGGAGAGTGAGGTGGAGGAAAGCTGATGTCTCCTGGTTCTTTCCATGGTTCCCTACCCTCAACCCCAGCAAGAGGGGTAAGGCTTGGTTGCCATCCTCTGGTCATTGCTGCTGCCCTGTGACCCACACTGTTATGGGCATCCTGAGGCAACCAGGCAGGTCTCTAGTTACCCACCTGGGACTCCACCCTGCACTCCTAACACCCAGGCCACATCCTCAGTAGGCACCGAGAGTCCCTGTATTCTCACTTTGGGGCAGACTCAGTCATCCTAGCTGCAAACCATGCTGCACGGCCATGGACAGCAGCAGCCCTGCCATTCATTCGTTCCCTGGACTCCAGGGGTGGGCCTTTCTGATGTGTTGACCGTCCCAGGCAGTGACAGGGTGGACAGAAGCCTGGGGACACTGATAGTAACCTATATCCTGTCAGCTTGCCATGCATGAGTGACAGCTGTCTCAGCTGAATCTCAGCTTAGGCCCTTTCTCCAGGTCTCTGACAGGACCCCTGCTCAGGACTCAGGGCAGCCTCAGGAGGGGCATTCAGGGAGCCTTTCCTCCCAATCCCCAATCCCTCTCTGAGGCAGACTCGGAAGGCAGACTGCCCTGTTAGTAGGGGTTTGCAGGGATGGTGGAAGTGAGGGGCTGCTCCAGTTGAGGTGCCTGCGCCTCAGGCTCTGGAAGATTCTTAGCAAACTTCAGTGAGCAGGGGCTCCTGTGGAGTGTGGTGTCACTGAGGACTCTGTTGGAGCTCTGGTTGCCAAGGCACAGGAGTGCAGGGCGGTGCAGGAGCTGAGTTTGGGCTCCACATCCAGTGTCAGGTGTCATCACAGGGCTTGCTTATCCCTCACAGGCTGGGCTCGCCAGAAAGGTCCGTGGCTACCCCAGAATCCCAGGTGGCGACAACTGCTCACCAAACAGAGAACCTAAAGTGCATTGGTAGGTAGCCTTAAGGTCACTTCTGTCTCCAAGAGGTGATGGAGTCCTAGGCCCCACCTTGCTCTGGAATGGACTGAGTTGGTGGCCCCACCGCTTTCCTTCTTTATGGTTCAGGGCGATGACGTTGCAATGCCACTCACCTGGTGACACCCAGCCCTAAGCAGGCTCCAACCTGCAGGAGTCCAGTCAGATCCTCTGCACAGATGGACTTTTTTGTTCATCTGCAGAGTGACTTCACTGTGGCAGCCTTCTGCCATCTCCCATACTGATGTGCTAAGCCGCTAGGACCAGATGCAGAGCCCGGGGAAGCCTCTTGGGCCTCAGAGTGGGCCCTCCCTGTGGCTGAGCCTCAGGCCACCCTGCCACCTTTACTGGGTTCCCAGACACATTTGCTTCTGGACCCACACTCCCCAGATCTACAGAGCCCATATGGAGTTTGTGAAAACCACTTCCCTGCAAGGCCAGCCTGTGCTGGCAGCTCTGTCCTGACTGCTGGTGCTGGCCATGGAGCCAATGCTGGCTGCGGCAGTGTCTATGGACCCCGTGGGAGAACTCAGGTGCTTTTGCTAATTACTGACAGCAAAGCGATGGCTGAGCCACTTGGCACAGATCCCTTAATCTGCAGTTGATGGGGGTTTGGGGAGGCCAGGCCCAGGAATGTGTAACATGGGCACCATCTGTGGCTGCCACTGACCGGCCAAGTCCCACACAGCCGCTGTCCTGCACATTCCCATTAAGCAAGTCGAGTTTGCTGGGAATGGCTCAGCCATAAATATTCCCTCTCTCTCAGCCGAGGCAGATCCCAAGCCTCCCACCCCACCCCCAGCAAAGAGGGGCAGGAGCCTTGGGATGTTTCCTCATGTCCTAGGCCGCTCTTACCATCTTCAGCAGGACAGGGATACTGGGAAGTGCTCTCCTTACTCACCTCTGTTTCCCCAGCTGCTGTGGAATGGGGGCAGAAAGAGCCCTGTCCACAGTGTCCTCAGAAGCCAGGAGTGAGTCAGCCCCCTGCTACTGCTCTGCTCTGGCATAGCGTGTTGTGTCGAGAGGCCTGTGTCCACTAAGCTGGGAATGAAGGCTGGCTCAGAAGTGTTCAGCTTGGGTCGTGAGCACAGGCCCTGGCTGCACTCAGTAACTGTCTGGATTTGCCAGTCCTTGCTTTGGACTGTACAAGCCCCGCCTTGCATCTTCTAGGCCCTTCTGGATGACACCCAGACTGCCTCGTCCTGGGTGGTTGATCTGTAAGACCATGTTGCCCTCTGGAAATGGTCTGTGTCTACTTTTCTTCTCTTCACTTCTTGGTGGGCAAGACTGGGCATCCACTTATTGACGGGTAATCTCTCCGGGAGTTTCTCGGCCTGGCCTGCCTGTGGTCGGGTAGGGAAGGCACTGGGCTAGCAGTCCCATCCTCACCAAGTTGTCTGCAGTGTGGGAGCCAGGAGCCTTGCCTAAGATTCAGTGCCTGCTGTGTCCCCACAGTGCACATGTCGCAAGGACATGGTCAAGATCTCCATGGACGTGTTTGTACGCATCCTGCAGCCTGAACGCTATGAGCAGTGGAAGCAGGGCCGTGACCTCACGGTGCTGGACCATACTCGGCCCACAGCCCTTAGCAGCCCTGAGCTTAGCTCCTGGAGTGCCTCGCGTGCCTCACTGAAGGCCAAGCTCTTGCGCAGGTGAGTGGCTTCTTCTTCTTCTTCTTCTTCTTCTTCTTCTTCTTCTTCTTCTTCTTCTTCTTCTTCTTCTTCTCCTTCTCCTTCTCCTTCTCCTCCTCCTCCTCCTCCTCCTCCTCCTCCTCCTCCTTGCCCTCCTCCTCTTCCTCTTCCTCTCTCTCTCTCTCTCTCTCTCTCGTTTCTACTTCGTTTGGACATCCAAATGAACATTTCACTGCTGCTTCCCCTGGTGACGTAAACTTGGTACCCTTGCAGCTCTGAGAGCCGGAAGGTCCCCTCCCTGCAAGCATTCATGTGGCCAAAAGCCCATAGCAGATGCCATGCTCCTAAGGATGACTGGACCCTCCTGGCCTGCTTCTTATAATAATGTGGTCACCTGTGACTGGGAACCTGGGCAGGGCTGCTACAACCTTGAGCACTGTGTGGTCTTTAGCATTGGTAGTACAGGTAGCAGGGTTGGGAAGGAGCTTGACTGGTGTGGGAGGTCCTTCAGTTTATGTGTTGGTTTTATTGGTTAATGAATAAAGCTGCTTTTGGCTAATGGCTTAACAGAGTAAAGCCAGGCAGGAAATCAAAACAGAAATGTAGAAAGAGAGTAGGCAGTTAGAAGCCATGTAGCCACTACAGGAGACAAAGGCTTCCAGCATAGCCCGCCAAAACTTTGCCGGTAGGCCACAAGCCTCGTGGTAAAATGCAAAATAATAGAAATGGGTTAATTTAAAATGTAAGAGCTAGCTAAAAATACATGACTCCTTTGTCTAAGAGGGAGGCCTGTCCAGCTGGGCCCAGTCCTTCACTCCAGGGTATCCATCTTACTCTGGCAGCCCTTCAGGGATTTGAGCTTCTGACAGGCCAAGGATGGTCCTCAGAGCTGAGCTAGGGCCACAACTGTGGGACTGCATGGAACTCAGCTGTCTACCTGTGAAGAGCCAGGGAGTCCCAAGAACTGTGCATTTAGGCAGGCCAGTCTATGGAACCACCACTGTTGACAGGACTTTACATAGGAACACAGCTGCTACCTTGGCCTGTAGACACAGCTGTTAGGATCCCAATGTCTTCCAAATGCTACAGAATCCATGGCATCCTCTGGAACCAGCTGCAGCTGCACCCTGCATTGGCTGTGCTGTGAGCAACTTGCTACCTTCCACTCCTGGCAAGCTTGAGGTCACTACTATCTTCGTCATGGGCCTGTGTCTGGGCAGTGACCTGTGGCCTGCAGCCTTCCCTCATGTCCTCTCAGACACCTCTTCCTGTGCACTGCAGTCTTACCCCCACTTCCTGCTCTGTGTCCTCCTCTCTGGAGAGCAGTCTGTGCTCCACAACATTCTGCAGCACCCAGCAGTCCGGTGACAGCCTGTGATGTTGCCTGAGTGGGCCTGCAGGATTCTGGAGTGGTTTCATGATGATTGGTGTCCAGTGTCCGGGCTTATGGGTCAGCTGAGCAGACAACCAGTAAATAGGCACCACATTCCAGAACCACAGTGACACCAGGACCATCCAGAGATGGCCCATGGGATCTCCCACCCTCAAGTCTCCAGCCATACTCTCACAGGCTCTCTCCCACAAGCAGCATCCCATCTTTTCACTCTGGAAGCCGTGCTAATGTGGCAGTGGCTGAGTAGCAGATGAAGCCCGCTCCCAAGGACATAATTTCCTTTAAAGCTGTAACAATGCACAAGGTCAGAGCTGTTTGTTTCTTTTGAACCATTTGCCATGCTTTCACAGTTCACGGCACTTGGGGCTGGGATTGCAATGAACATGTGCCCAGTTTCTCCCAGGTGTGCCTTGGCTGCATGCTGGACTTCCTTAGGGAAACTGAGGCATGTCAGGGGTTCTGAGTTGGGTCAGAGCTCTCTTTCCCTGACACACCAGGATCTGGGGCTACTGTTGTTGGCAAGAACTAAGAGCGCCCCTGACTTCTGTCTTCTGGGCAGTGTCCTGGCCATAACTCTACCCATCAGAGGTTCCTCACTACAGGAGAGCCCCCCGTCTATATCCCTGCATGTCTACATGGGACTTTCTCAGCACAGGCCTAAGCTCAGGCTGTCCTGTGCCCACCCTGTCCCCATTCCCAGTCTCCTGTCTCCCGCAGCAACTTAACAGGTGAGCCAACTCCAGCCCTCTTGTGGGTGACCATCAGGAGACAATGCCACAGTCCTCAGCCAACCTGGCCTGCTGTGGACGTGTGGGGGTCAGGAGGTGTTGATGCTGATAGTGTGATGCCCTAGCCTACTGACCTCAACACCAGAATTGGCCCATGACCCAAGGCACTCACACCCAGGACTTCATGAATGTCTTCTGAACCCCAGAATGTACCACAGTTTCCCAGGGGATATTTTAAATACTCATAGGTCTGCCTTAGTGGCAGGAACAGAACATATTGGGGGAAACTAGAGCCTGCAGGTGGTCTCCTAGCTGCTTTGTGGGCACAGGTCACCATATATCTGCAGCTGTCATCTCTCTGTGTGTCCTGCCGCTCAGCGAAGGCTGTAGGCTTCCTCGTCACCCATCGCTCAAGTCCGAGACACCTACTTTCATCTCAGAAGAGTTTGTGTCATTCACATGCCAACACTTGACTTCTGAAATCTGGCAGATTGATTTCCAGCCATGTTCTGATCCCGCAGGATGGGGAGAGGGCAGGACTGCAGGAGCAGCTGCATGGCTCAGGCCTCGACAGGGCAGTAGGAGGCCTTCCCAGCAGGCCCAGGCTGCATAGGCCAGTGGGAGCCCTGGTATGGAGGAGTCCTAGGCTCTTCTTCCTGAGACCCCATAGCCAGGCCTACTCCCTGGGACACACCACTTGCCTCATGGCACAGGACTGGCATCTTCAGTACAGGACCCATCTAGTGGCTCTGATCCTAACGATGGTCTTCCATGAAGCTCCCCGACCTCCATCTCCACCTGCCATCACCCTCAGCGAGCCCCTTACCCACCTTCCTTAATGCCAGCTCATAACAAAGCCAGAGCCCAGAATGGTATAGATACAGACTTCAGAAAGATTCCAAAGCTACCACAGCATATGGGAGAAGAGCAGGGACAGGAAGAGCCAGCACACCAGCCCAGAATGCTGCAGGGAAATGCAGGAACAGCAGGCAGCAGCAGACAGAAGGTGCCGGAAGCCGTATCCAGCCTCCAGGGAGTTCTAAGAGAAGCAAAGACACGTGTAGCAGTGACCATGTGCAGCCTGGTCCTGTGGCGGGGTGATGACCACCCATAGTGTGGAACACACCCGTGGGTCCCTCACCGGGGTTCAGCAGGCAGCCCCCAGAACTTCCAGAGAGACCCTGGTGTCAGGCTAAAGGCTGCAGAGCAAGCCACTGTGGCCTAGGGCACCCTCCCAGGGTCCCCTAGCCTGACTGCCTGCTAGACAGCTTCAGACTTGCAGCTCCACAGTGAGCGTCCGTCAGCCCAGCACAAGCCCCCCCCCCCCGAGCTGCAGTACAATGGAAGGCTATCTGGAGCAGGGACATGCCACTTAGGAGTTTAGGGTGGGGCCAGAGCACCTGGAGATGCCAAGAAAAGGGGCCGTGCCCCAGCTCAGGGTCACAAGATGTAAGGGCACGCTGTGTGCTGCTGAAGGGTGGCCACATCTGTGTGTATCCATCCAGCCTGGTGGGAGAGGCGTCAGTGAGGAGATGGGACAGCTGGCACAGAGCTGGGTTCCAGCTTGTTTTCCTAATACAGCATGGCTATTCTTTGGTATCCAGTACCCTCCCTGCTCTGGATGGGTGCAGCACACACATCTGAGTCCTGTGGCTGTGGGAACTAAGTGGCTGCTGTGCTCAATTGTAAAGAGTGTAGTGTAAAGAGGCCTGGGGTGTCCCAGTCAGCTGTGCAAGGGTGGCCTCCAGTGGGATCAGGACAGTGATTGAACCAGGACCACTCCTGAAGCTGTGGCCCAGTGAGTTGGTGGCAGGCTGTGAGTGCTATCTGAACTGAGAGCTACCAGGAGCAGCCCTAGACCCTGAGGACAACAGTTACAGTCTGAGCCACCTCACTTCCTTCCTGACTCGGTGTTTCCAAGTCACCCCATTGCTGGGGCTGCCCACCCAGAGCAGAAGGGTGTGTGTCCCTGGATCCAAGGCCTCGTGTCCCCAGCCTCTCTCCTCTCCCTGTCAGTGCTTCCTTGCCTCCCCCGCCCCGCTCCTGCCTGTCCCCAGCCTGTCCTGCAGCCACTGCCCTTGCACACCTTGTCTGTCCCTCCTTGGAATGCCACCTGCTTGCCTGCTGGTCATCTTTGTGGGGCTCACACATTCATTGAGGGGTCCTGCCCTGGTCAGGGGGTGTTTCAGCCACAGGAGTGAGGGAAAGGAGGGCAGGCCATGGTCAGAGTCACAGAAGCCACCACCCAGAGCTGGGCATTGCCAGTTCTGGGCCACTGAGAGGCTGTGGTGGGTGAGGGCTACTGGCCTGGGGACCCCAGGGCACAGATCTGCAGGAAACCATTGTCCCTTGTGAGTCTAAGCAGCTTCAGGTGCTGGTGGGGGGTCCTGCCTCTGCCCCTGCTCCACATCCTCACCCTATCTCTTCATTCAGCGAGGCCAGTTTGTGGTGCCAAGGGCCGTCCTTGCTGTCAACATGAAGGTGGTACGCTACTGTGCTCAGGCTGGGCATGGGTCCTAAGAGCCCTGTGTGCAGAGAGGGCCCCCGAGCCAGAGGAAAACCCTGAAATTTACATTCTAGACAAATTAGTGTGAAGGAGAGCAGACCCTGGAGAAAGGCTGAGGAGGAGAGGAGGCCGAGTCTAGAGAGGAGGCGGGAGCCGACCAGGAGGCCAGGGCCAGCGTAAGTGATCTCCCTCCAGCCCACAGCGTCCTGCCCATCCCGTGCCGCCATCGCCTGCTTCACCCCAGCCCTGCTCTTCCCTGACCCTCCTTCCTACCCACCCTGGACTACTGCAGTCTCCATTTCCCCTGCTGCCTGACCAGTGCCCTCCTCCAGGTCACACCGGAGACGGAGCCAGCCCAAGAAGTCCAAGCCTGAAGACTCCAAGTCTCCTGGTCTGGATGAGCCTGGGGGCTGTTCTCGGGAGGAGGCTGCTCCTGAGGATGAGGATGAGGAAGAGGAACTGTTGCCCTCACAGGGCCCAGAGGCTGAGGGCCTGGAAGGTCAGTGCTGGATGCCTGCAGCCCGGGTTTGGGTCTCTGCAGCCCTACTTTGGCATTTTGTTCCTGCTGGCCTGGACATGGCCCAGGGAGGCAGCACAGTGGTGCAGGCACCTGTGCACGTGGGAACCTTGAGCTGCAGTCTGGCACTGAGTCTCCCAGCTCTCCTGCCCTGCATATTCTGTGCCTCATTCCTACCACTGGCTTCCACCAGCGTAGGGAAGGGCTTTCCTCTGTGACCTTTTTGGGGTGTGAGGCAGGGACTGGAACGCATCAACACAGTGTCTCAGATTCCTACTGACTGCTCAGGAGAATCATTGACAGAGATTTCTGTCCCACCAGGTCCCACAGCCCTTCAAACCCAAAGAAACACACAGAGGTATACATTAATCATAAACTGGTTGGCCAATTAGCTCAAGCTTCTTAATGACATGTGTTAGCCACATGGCTTGGTATCATTTATCAGTGAGGCCTTCTCACCTTGCTTCCTCTGTATCTGGGTGACAACTGAAGACTGAGCCTTTCCTCTTCCCAGAATTCTCCTGTTGTGGTCATCCACCTATGCTTCTTGCCTGGCAACTGGCCAATCATCATGTTATTAAACCAGTACAACTGACAAACCTTTACAGGGTACAAGACCATTGTCCCACAGCAGAGAGTTACAGAGACCTGTCCACAGCACACCATGACAGGGTCTTCCAACCCAGAAAGGCCCAGTGAGGGAAAGCAGGGTGGCCACAATGTGATGTGACCACAGACAGAGTGATCCATGGGGCTGTGGACAAGGCCACGCGTGTCCAGAGACTTAGGCTCTGTAGGCACTGTGGACGAGTGAGGCCACTGGTGGACAGCAGCTCACACCAGCCAATAAGAACCAGCCAGAAGTAGCTACACAGCAAATTAAGGCTGACAAGAAGAAACTGATGGCCACGTAACCAGGGGGGCTTCCAGCTGACGTCTGAGCACAGCTCAAGCAAGGTGGCGAGGTACCCGCTGGCATGCATAAGGCCCTGCACTCTCCTCCACACTGAGAGTAAGGACAACAGCCAGCTATTGTAGAAACAGGAAACTACAGGAGGCTACAGGTGTGAGGTCTCTGTGACATCCCTGCGCCCTTCTGGATTGTGTGTGATTGCCATGGTTGCATGTGGATCTGCAGGAGCTGAGGGCTGGAATGATGCCAGCAGCTACAATTACACAGAGAAGCTGCAGGACGTAGGTGGTGTGCTGAGTCTAGCCTGAGCTCCCTGCTTCCACCTACACACTGGCATGTGAGCCCCGGAGCCATGTGACCAATTACTGAAGTCTGTTCCCTGTGGATCTGGTGCCAGGTGCTCCCCCTTCCTGAGTACGGTGTGAGGAGGGTCTCCTTGACCCACCTAGCAATGTGGCATTCTCTAGTCTATGCTTCTCATCCTGCTTCCTCTGAGGATCCTGTGGTGACCTCAGAGTCCTTGGCTTAATCCTTTCTAAGGAGTTCCTTCTGCTGTGGGAGGTGCCCCCGCCAGGCACCAGGGCAGGGTGTGGCTGTCTTTGAAGGCTTTCACACTTCTGATTTAAGGACTCCTTGACCTTAAGTCCTCCTAAAGTAGTGGAAACAGCATCTGTCCTGTGGTAGGAGGTAGGCGACATTTTGTGGAACGCATGGATGGTAGTCAGCATGGCCTTGCTTTCAGGACGGGGTGCTGGGCACTGAGTGGGGCACCAAATCACAGCCTGTCTGTGTCCCACAGCCTGTCTGAGGGGGCATCGGCGGGTGATGGGTTGGGATCCCCAGCAGCTGGACCTGATTTCCATGACAGTGCTCCTCAGCAGGGCCACGCTAGAAGGTACTGCTCTCCAGGTGTGTCCAGCCTCAGGAGCTAGAGCAGAGCCCACACCTGTAGATGTGTGGCCTACTATACCCCTTGGCCTCCTGTGGCCTATGACTTTCAACCAACCAGGCTGACAAACCCAGGCATGTTGGGACACCAGGCCATAGCTCCCAGTCACCCCTGAAGGACCTCTCCACCAGACTGCTCACCCCAGCACTCTAGAGGGACCAGACTGTGGCAGTCCTCTCCTTGATCCCCAAGGCAATACCAGAGGTGTTCCCACTGATGCAGCCATTGAGTCTGTGGTGAGGCAGTGGGCTTTGAGGTGCCCTTCTTGGCCTTCTGCTAAGGGCTCCGGGCTATCTCATGGCCATACAGAGCCTGGAGATGCCAAGGATCCACAGTTGTCGTTGGTCATAAGAAAACTAGGGCAGGACCCTGTGGTCCAGCACTAAGGGCTGTAAAGATACCAGGTTCACCATGATCACTCCACAGCAGCTGCCATGGTCATAGGAACAGACTCCTGAGGCCACACTTGACATCCTTCCTTGGATCCAAGAACACATCCTGTAGGGGTTCATCCTGGCATTGGTGACCACAGCGACTCCAGTATGGAAGTGGATGAAGTCTGTTGTCTGGGGGCTGGGCAACACCCCACCTGTTCCCACCCATGTCCCATTGCAGCTTGGGGAACTGAGTGTCTTAGGGGTTGGTGGTGCTATCTAATACACTCAAAACCGAGCAGAGTGCATGCTGTCATCCGGGTTAGTGAGCCTTGCCCTTGGAGGGTGTGAGGGTGTGATACACAAGGGGCCTACTCCAGATGCCTGACTCCAGTGTGCCTCCTTTCCCATCAGCAGCCTGCCTGGATAGTACAGGTGTCAGCTTCCAAGCCTGGGGTATAGCTGTTACCCACAAGCCACTCAGTCTAGGGCTCTTAAAACACAAGTGGCACCCAGGCCCCTCACAGCAGGGTAGAATCCCGTGATACCCTTAGGTGACATCTTGACCCTGAGAACTAGGCTCCAGGGCACACGTCAGGTGGGGTTCTCTGGAGAACATGGTACAAGTGACCAGCCCCTGATCACTCTGTCCCTGCTTAAGTGATGTGCTGTGCAGCCATTATAGCACCAAACTGAAGTACCACCAAGACAAGTCCCATCAGCCACTCTTCATGTCCCCTGTCAGGAACTGTCTCCAACACTCACCCCAGAGGCTGCCAGATGGGGGCCCCCAGGCCCATCTGCTGCTGGGTCCTTCTGTGTTGGCTTGTGATGTGTTGTCTGCGCTAACTGTACAAGTCCACTCCTCCCCATACCTGCGCTGGGCTGGCAGGAGCCCATGACATGGGACAGTTAAGCATATTCGCAGCCACTTTCTGAAAACCCAGGCTTCCCCTCCCAAGGCTCCCCCCTCCCTCTTCTTTCTGTCTTTTTTTTTTTTTCAGACAAGGGTGCCCTGAGTGCTGGGGTGGCAGGTTGCAGTTCAACACCAGGTCAGGAATCTCTTTAAGTGCAGTGGCCAGTATTGGTCACTTTCGGAGGTTGAACTTACCCAAGCTTTGGGGATCCTGAGTCTGCAGCCAGCTGTGCTCTCCTCACCACAGAACATGGTCTCCTGTTTCTGTCTGATTCTTTTGGTTCTGAATGATATGTTCTCTCCCCCAGAGGATGGCAGAGGCAAACCCCGACCAACCAAGGCCCGGAGCAAGAAGAAGACCCCCAACCCCCTGTCACCCCTGTTGCCACCTGCCCCACCAGCCCTATTACCCACTGAGGAGGTCCTGAGACCACAGCCCCCACCCAAGTCTCCGGTGCCGGCCATGGGCCCCATGGCCACAGAGGGGGGCCCTCCACCAGCAACCCTCAATGTGGTGCCTCCTGGGGCACCAGGTGAGGAGGCAGAGGTGCGGCCGCGGCCCATCATCCCAATGCTATATGTGCTTCCGCGTACCAACACCGCTGATGGGGACAGGGAGCGCACTGCCCACCCGCAGTTGGCACCCATGGAGCTGGGACCGGAAGACGAAAACCAGGCCCAAGCTGGCGATGCACAGGTGGGTGATTAATGGCCACCAGGTGCTTTTGTGACTCTGCCCACACAGCTGTGTGTGGCATTTGAATGCTAGGGTGGCAGCTGGAGTCAGTGTGTGTCGTGGGTGACAGGAGTGGTTATGAGTGCATGTGTGCATGCTGTGGGTGACAGGGTCCAGCATTCCATAGTGCCATGTGTTTCAGGCACCATCCTCGTTCTCTAAGCTGAAGGTAGAAATCAAAAAAAGCCGGCGTCACCCCTTGGGTCGTCCACCTACACGGTCTCCACTGTCTGTGGTTAAACAGGAGGCTTCGAGTGATGAAGGTGAGCAAGACCCTGCCACCATGCCACTTTACTCCCACCTGCATGGGGCGCAGGCCAGCCCCTCTGCACAGGTGCCAGTGTCCACCCATCCAGTCCCTTGGGATCAGGTTCTCCTACAATGTGGCACCCTCGTCACCATGCTGTGAGAGATTTACCACAGAATTCCCTGCCCCTTCACATCTACAGAGACCTAGCTGCCCACACATACCTTTAACCACCCCAGTTCTTTGTGGCCTACAGGACCTCCACCTGACCCCACCTTTCAACCAGTCACTTGCCAGGACCTAGTGCCTCAAATATCATGTGATCAGGGAGGGCCTAGATCACAGCCATCTCCAACCAGGACCCATAGTTCCAATCCCCATTCCAATGGGTTGCAGCATTCAGGGTCTCAGTGGGAAGATTGAGGGGCCAGCGTCTGAGACAGGTTGCTGAGGCCTGGTGCTAGCACCTGTGAAGAGGGTGTGGCATGCTGGCTGTGATGGCAGAGGGTGCAGCATGCAGACAGAGGGTGTGGTGTGGAGGCCATGGTGGCAGAGGGTACGGTGTGCAGGTCGTGGTGTCATGGTTTTGGGCCATGATGTTAGGCTCTGGCAGCAGCTCCTCTGTCCCAGGGTTGCACCCTAACTTCTGCACAGGAGCTTCATCAGTGCTTGCAGAACTAGGTATCTAGAGTGTCCCCAGACACAATGCAAACGCTTAGAGTGTGGCTATGGATGGGGGGGGGGTGTGCTGGTGAGTGCAGGTGGTACCCAGGAGGCTGCTCTCCAGTGATAGTTAGGCCTTGGGTACATCTGTCTCTGCAGGCTAGCAGGGCAGTAGTAGTGTGTGCGGGCCCTGGTGGGTTTCAGTTCCTTCTTAAAACTGTTGGCAGAGTCTGAGAGCCACTGGCAGCTCTTCCACCCAAGGCCTTCCTGTGCTAGCAGGATGGTTCTGGAAGTACCCAGGACCTCAAGACCTCACTATAGGAGTGACAATAATCTGGGGAACAGTGGAAACCAGGCCCCTGGCTCTTACCTTCCTACTGAACTCTTCCCAGAAGGCTCTCTTGGGAGTTCTAGGCAGGCAAATCTCCCCCCAGCTCCATGCCCTGTGTCTCTTGGCAGGTGGCAGGGCCTGAATCTAGCGTAGTCCTAAGATTTCTGGTTCCCTCGAGCTGGTGTGGGGCTTCTCCAGGCTGAGTGGGCTGGATCCCTGGCAGGGTGTCCAAGCCCTGCATGAGGAGTTCCTCGGACCGGAAGGTGTAAGGTGCTGAGAATGGAGTGGTTCTGGCTGATAGCCCCCTTCCTCCGTCCTCCTGCCCGTCATGGTCGTGCTGCCACTTAGATGGGTTTTAGCAGGCTGGTGGCTGAGGCTCCCGGGCAGGTAGGCAGCACTGTGCCCAGCTTTACACACAAGAGGATGTGTCTGAGGGTGGCATGTTTGGTGTCCAGGACTTAGGTTAGACTCTGGGGAGACCATGGAGGGAAATCAGCCCCCGCTCCCTGCAGGAATGCAGACTGCCGAGTGCCAGCCAGGGCTGCTCAGACAGAGAACCAGTGGGGTGGTGCTCTGCTGGGGCCTCGTCTTCCAACCCAAGTCCCTCATCCATCACAGAAGCCTTCCCATTCTCAGGGGAGGACGATGTCAGTGACCCCGAGGCCTTGAAGTCCCTGCTTTCGCTGCAGTGGAAGAACAAGGCAGCCAGCTTCCAAGCTGAGAGGAAGTTCAATGCGGCAGCTGCCCTCAACGAGCCCTACTGCGCCATCTGTACCCTCTTCTACCCCTACAGCCAGGTGAGCTGCCTGCTTGGCCTCCCTATATTGACACTGCAGCTGCTGGCTTCCCCCACCCCACTCAGGAGAGAGCAGCTATGCACCCCTAGACTCTGGATGGTGAGGGAACTGTAGCTTGACCTTCTGTGGCCCTGCGCTGGGTATGGGACCTTGTCACCTCCTGATGTCCATGCCTCTGCAGTCAGTACAGACAGAGCGAGAGGTCCCAGCCGCTCCAGGGGACAGTGCTGTCCAGCCACCCTCCAAAAGTGGCCAGAGGACACGGCCACTGATCCCTGAGATGTGCTTCACTTCAAGTGGGGAGAACACGGAGCCGCTGCCTGCTAACTCCTACGTCGGTGAGGATGGTACCAGCCCACTCATTTCCTGTGCCCACTGCTGCCTGCAGGTCCACGCCAGTGAGTGTTCCACAGCCATCTCAGTGTGAGGGACTCTGGGGACATGGAATACTTTTTGGACACAGTGCATTTTGAGTTTGAGGAGCACTGTCCAGGGTTCTCGTTCAGGAGGCTACACTGTACAGTGTATGGGGGGGCAGCAGGTGTGGAGAGCTGTAGATGTGGGGGAAGGGCTGCAGGTGTGAGAGTGGCTGCACGTGTTCAGGTGACAGATTCTGTCTGGTCCCAGCACTCCACTGTCTTCCAGGTTGCTACGGTGTCCGGCCTGAGCTGGCCAAGGAGGGCTGGACATGCTCCCGGTGTGCGGCCCATGCCTGGACTGCGGTAACTTACCTGTGCTGGGTGGCGCCTAAAGCCTGGGAGGGCCTAGACCTCCATGGGCCAGTGGTCTTGATCGTAGCTATGCTGAGGCTGGGGCTTGACGCTAGCTATTCCTAGGATGTTTCTCGGATGGAGGTGGCTGCACCTTACCATGTTAATCTGTTCCTCAGGAATGCTGTTTGTGCAACCTCCGGGGGGGAGCACTGCAGACGACCACAGAGCACAGGTGTGTGCTCCGCCCTGCCCTATGCGACTGTCACTCTCCTGCCTCCCTGCTCAGCTTCCCTGGAGGTTGGAGAGAGAGGAACAGGGTATCCAACATGAAGGGAGCAGTGTCCTGAATGCCCATAAACCTCCCCTCCCCACCCCCCAACAACCCAGCCTGGCTGGCCCCTTGGGGATAGCCTGGAACCATCTGCAGTGCATTTGTGACCCTGCCCTGACCTCTCAGGTGGATTCACGTGATCTGCGCCATTGCAGTCCCCGAGGTACGGTTCCTGAATGTGATTGAGCGCAACCCCGTGGATGTCAGTGCCATCCCTGAACAGCGGTGGAAACTGGTAGGTCTCCAAGGCTGTGGCCATCAGCTTTAGTCCTGGGGTGAACTAAGAGACCCTGGGAGGATAGCCCCAGCCTGGTCTAGGATGCTCATTTCTCCAAACCCATAGCCCTGCAGCAAGGTGGGGGGCTCTGTGCAGTGCGTAGGGCACAGTGGTGAGAACCTATCCCCAAGTTCAGCCAGGCAGCCCCGGTCTAAGTATCCCAGCTCTCAGGCCTCTCTGCAGATACTCCTACCTACTATTAGTGCCTGAGCTCAGTGTGCTCGCGCTGCTGAGAGCTGTCCCAGCAGGCCCTGGCAGCTCCAGCCTTCCCCCTGCCCAACCTGCCTTCTACGGTGCTTGCCTTCTGTGACTTGGGGAGGAGGAGCCTTGTCTTATGCTGTGACTCCTAGCTCCCATAGAGTGACGTCCCAAGCTTCATCTTCCTCCACTATGTTACAAGCACAGTAGTGTGTCCTGTGTGTGTGCACACACGTGCAGGCATGTGTCAAGCCAGAGGACAGCCCCAGGTGTCAGTCCTTGCCCTCCATCTTGCTTGAGATGGGGCCTTTCCATGTACATGCCCAGCTGCCTGTCCAGCCAGCTGACTCCCATCATGCCATAGCACATGGGGTTACACATTCCGCACCTGGCTTTACATGTGTTCCGATGATGCAAACCCATGTCCTTAGAGCTGGACAAGTGCTTCTGCCTGAGCCATCTCTCCAGCCTTCTTTCTCTTTTCGACGGCGTGACCAGGCTCACTCACCTGCTGGACTCTGCATCTTGGAGCATGTGATGCAGAATAGTCCTGTCTGCATGCATGCCACAAGCACATGAGTAACCTTTGCTGTTTCCTCCATCCCTGCCCTTGGGCATGCAGCCCCTTCCCACATCCATTCTCCGTGGTGCACTTAGCACACTAGGGGAGGGCAGCTGGCTGTGGTCAAACTGGAGGCCAGGCCCCCAGGTAGGGACATGGACAGTGCCTGTATTTGTTTTGCCTGGTTTTTTTCCCCTGCTTCCAGGACACACTGAGTGGAAGGCCGCTGTGGACTAGGCCCAGGAGGGACTAGGCTGGCTCACAGCCAGAGCCTGGGCTCTCCAGTGACTGGTGACAGAGTCACAAGTTCAGGGGCCATGTTCCAGCCTAAGGATACAGGCCACCAGAGCAGGCCCAGTGGATGGCCTTAGAAGCCCCTTTAGAAGCAGGATCTGACAACTGGATGGCCTTTAGTGAGAGCATTATGACTCAGGTGGATAGCGTGCAAATCCCAAGACCTTGTCTGTCTCCATTCATGTCCTGACAATTTAAACCCTATGGTGCTGCACCAGGAGACACAATCCCCCAGCTCTGTGCTGCAGGGAGGGTGGGGACATGGTCAGGGAAGAGGTCTGAGAATTGGCAGTTTGGGTTCAGATGACTGCCCCCCCCCCCCCGTTCTGGAAGATACTTCTCTGGCCTTGCTGGTAACCCTGCACCCCATCCTATGCAGAAATGTGTGTACTGCCGCAAGCGCATGAAGAGGGTGTCTGGTGCCTGCATCCAGTGCTCCTATGAGCACTGCTCCACGTCCTTCCATGTGACCTGCGCACATGCCGCTGGTGTCCTCATGGAGCCTGATGACTGGCCCTACGTGGTGTCCATCACCTGCCTCAAGCACAGAGCAGGCGGCGCTGGGGTGAGTGCTGCACCAGGGGACCCCGCCCTTGTGTACTAGCCCTGACCACCCGGCCTCGCCCACTTGAGCAAAACCCCACCCACATGCACCATCGCCCCGCCCCCAGGGCCAGCTCCTGCGCGCTGTGTCCCTGGGCCAGGTCGTCATCACCAAGAACCGCAATGGGCTATATTATCGCTGCCGTGTCATTGGCACCACCGCACAGACCTTCTACGAGGTCAACTTTGATGATGGCTCCTACAGCGACAACCTGTACCCAGAAAGCATCACGGTGAGGGGCGGGGCAGGGAGGGGAGGGACGGGGTGAGCACGCTGGACAGTGCCTCACCATACCCTCCCTGCAGAGCAGAGACTGCTTGCGGCTAGGACCACCTCCGGAGGGCGAGCTGGTGGAGCTGCGGTGGACAGATGGCAACCTGTATAGAGCCAGGTTCATCTCCGCGGCTACCAGCCTCATCTACCAGGTGAGTAACCTCCACAGCAGTCCTCTAACAGACACCCAGCCTCTGCCCGCCTACACTTTATCAGTGCTCACAGAGAGGGTAGGGGAGGCCAGGGCTGGGGACTTGGGACTCGGCACTGCACCCGGGTGGGGGCTGGGGTGGGGTGCTGCTCACCAAACAGCTTGAGGTGGAGCTGCCAGCCTGGGGCTGTGCAGCAACACCTTGTCTCAAAACAGCATGACAGAGCCAAACGACAGAACTGCATTACGGCTGTGCCCCCACCTGGGCGGAGAGGGGGAGGGGACAGTCCAGCCCAGCTATCCCGCTGCCTGGAAACCAGGCAGCGTGGGGACACACACAGCACATGTGTGGCTAAACAAGGTGCTGGCATAAAATGGTAGGCCAGCCGGGTTACCCCACCCTGAAGCCCAATAGCCAGGGACAGGTGTATTCACATGCCCGTCACACTCCTCTCAGGATATTTCCAGAAGCTGTGTGAGCCCACGCAGGGTAGCCTGGGCTGAGGGCTGCAGCTGTTCAGAGTGTTGGGGGTGGGGTACAGCCTGCCCCTTGGAGTATCACAGGTGGGTGGCAGCAGGCACCTTCCAGAACCCCCAGTGCATAGCACTGTCCAGCTGCTGCCTTGGCAGGTCTCCTGCCCAGGCGCACTTCCAGGGTCCCCTCCAAGACACCAGAGGAGCCTTGGTTTCCAGCACGTGACTTTACCCAGCCAGGAGGCCAGGCTGGGAACTAGGCCCCTGATTGCTTGTGCTCCTCATTGCTGTCCCCAGAGAAGGTGGCCAGATGTTGGAGCCCCATGGCGCCTGCCTCCCAGCTAGCTGCCCAACCCAGCCCCTGGGCATCACTTCTGGAGGATGGGGCCTATTTGGAGTGTTGGGCCACAGCTGCCATTCTGAGTGGGTCCCAAGGACCCTGTGAGCCCTTAGCCTCCTGTCCAGGGCCAGTGCTGCTGCCCAGGCGCGTCTTCCCCGTGTCAGTCATTGGTCACTCAGGCCGCCTGAGCCCCTGACACCCCTGGGGCTCTCCGTGGGTAGGGCTGGCGTCCTGTGGCCCTCCTCATGCCGAGACCCCTTGTTGCTGCAGGTGGAATTTGAGGACGGGTCTCAGCTAACGGTGAAACGTGGGGACATCTTCACCCTGGAAGAGGAGCTGCCCAAGAGGGTACGGTCCCGGCTGGTAAGTGTCCTGGGCACCTCCCTCTGGGGCATGGAAGATGCATGCCCCAGACAGGCTGTCCCCTCCTCCTTGGCCATAAATGATGCTCTGGCATTGATCACAGTCATACAGGGCTTGCCACTCTGCTCAGCCAGGGACAGGTGTCTACTTTGTAGACTCTGTAGACCGAAGGACAGGTGGGGACTACCCGTTGGGTGTGAATCAGGGTGCAGTGACAGGCACGGTCACGGTGCTGAGGGCGACAGCCTCATCCATCTCTGTAGTTGAGGTTTTTTGTTTTTTTGTTTTTTTACACTTTGGAGACTTGCCACCCAGCTCCCAATTTATACAGAGACTTGTTCTTACTCATGAATGCCTGGCCTTCGCTTGGCTTGTTTCCAGCCAGCTTTACTAGCTTAGCCTATCCCGTTTCTCTAACTGTGTTTCCCTCTGGGCTTTTACCTCTCCTTCTTACCCGTGGCTGGCCGGGTTCTGGCCCTGGTGTCCTCCTCTCCGTCTCCTTTTTTTACTCCTCTTTTCTCTCCAGCCTAGATTTCTTCTATTTCTCCTCTCTGCCTGGCAGCCCATTTCTCTCTCCTGCCTAGCTCTTGGTCTTTCAGTTCTTTAGTAAACCAATTGGGTGTTTTAGGCAGGCAAACAAACACAGATTCACAGAATTAAATGCAACATGAAAGAATGCAATACAGCCTTATATCATTGAACGAACAGCACATCTTAGACTAACATCCCTCTGTGTCCCTGGCATCTACAGTCGCTGAGCACCGGCACTCCACAGGAGCCCGGCTTCTCTGCAGAGGATGTGAAGGCTGCCAAGCGTCCACGGGTGGCTACTACGGTAACCACCACAACCCAGGACACAAGGCACAGCCCAGAATACCTGGCCTTCGTGGAGAGCCTGCTGCAAGCGCAGGGCCGACCTGGGGCACCCTTCTAAATGCTGCCCACTCCTGTTCCCACTGCGGGACCTACCTGGGCAACAGAACCAGCAGGATCCAACATGGCCGGACTCAGGGAGAGGGGCCAGTGTCCCTGGACTGCAGCGATTCCGTGGGACCCATCCTGGCTGTGCTTTTCTCCTAAAGGTGCTACGGGGCATCCCAGAGCCTCCTGTGACAGACGCCAGCCGAGGACACTGGGGCACAGTCCCAACCTGTTTTCTAGATTCGTGGCTTTAAACACGGACAGCGACCTACTCTTTTCCTTAGAACCAAGACATGAGGAGATTCGTCCTTGTTCGCCGCTTGTGGAGGTCATTTCTCTCCTCAGCAGCTGGAGAGGAGGCACTCGGACAGCCAGTGCACGGTGGCCTGTGTGGTGGCTGCTGGTAGTGTCTTCTGCTTCCTGCTGGGGAGGCAGGCCCTGCAGGCGCCGAGTCCCTTCCCTGTCCTGTCCCCCGCCCCATGCAGAGTCTGTCTCTGAGGCCTGGCATGGCAGCTGCCCCATGGGTGAGCCAGGCTGCCAAGGTGTTTGAGTCCCACAGCTGTGGCCTGAGGTCCCATGAGCCTTCCCCCATGAAAGAGCCTCTTTGTGGCTGAAGGCAGGAGAGCAGGTGCCGCCTTCCCTTGTGGCATGGGTTGAGTGACTACTCAGGCCTGCTCTTCACTAGTGGCCACTGCCTGTGGGTTGGCTCTGTCTCTTTAGAAGCCACTGCCACCCTAGCGCCTCCGTCAGTCCCCAGCATGGCCAGCCAGCTCGTCTGTAAATGATAAAGGACTGCATAGACAGGCCCTGGGGACCTGCTGGGGACCTGGAGGGACTGGGCCTCTGCTGAGTGCCCAGTGACCACCGTGTCCACATGTACTTTGAAATTCTATTTATATTGTAAAGAGAATTAAAAGGGCCCAGCCTTGGGCCTAAAGGAATCGGCTGGGCCACAGGGGCCTCAGGCTGTGACTCTCATGGGCTCTGCAGAGGCTGCAGGTGGCCCGCACATGCGTCTCACAGAGAGGCCTGGGTTTTACAATGTGCAAAACAGAAACAAAACCTCGCTCCTCCCTTACTTTTCTCCCCACCCCAGATGAAGGATGCCATATTTTTGCCTCAGTCCCCAGCCTCTGGCTCAGGATCAATTAAAAGCCTCAAGCACTTCCTATTCCTGTCTGGCCATGGCTATGTTCTCATTTCTGGCCAGGGCCAGATGGGCTCAGGACAGAGGTTTCCTTGACAGGATGATGGGCACAGCATGTTCTGGTTTGGATGTAGGGGCTGCCAGGAGGTGGAACACCCTCCGCAAGACTCCACCTTGCTCCAGTGGCACAGTGCTGAGGCAGTGTGTCCCTGCAGGGTATGGGGCTCTCCGACTCGCTCATTTTCAGCAGCTTCCATTTGCTTCCAATGCTAGCAGGGACCACAGATGAGCAGTGGTGTTGCGGCCGAGCACATCCTGGCCTGCTGGAGCAGAGGGAACACAGCAAACGGCACGGAGGGAGGATTGGGGGGGCCTCTGGTGGGCTGCAAGGGACACTTGGGTTTGGCCCAAGGGAGGAGGAGCCAACAGTGTACTCACAGAGGGATCTCAGCAGCAGGCAGCCAGGTGGGGCAGATGACCCTGATTTTCCATTCCTCTTTGAAACATAGAATAGACCTTGGAACAGGCAAAAAGCTCTGGAGGAAAGGGAAGGCAGCCCTGATGGGGACATGGCCAGGATCCTGTGGGGGTAGGATGTTGTGCCAAGAGGGGACATCTAACTAGCTCTGACCCTGACTGGCAGATCCTACTGAGCTCAGACATGAGGCCTGCAGCCCTGGGCCAAATCTAGCCCTAGACCTGTTTTTTGTCAATAAAGTTTTATTTGCACATGGGCCACTGTGATACTTATTTGCATGTGGCAGCCATTGGCCCTAACCTCAGATTGCTGAATGATTGCCTGACCTGTAAAGCTGAACCTAGCTTGAACCTGGGCCACCTGCTCCGCAGCCCCTACCCTGGCAGCCAGGGGCACCCAGAAGCACCAAGTCAGCACCTGCTTTCTTCAGCAGAAGCCTACACACCCTGCCTGCCCCCGCCCCAACCCGGTTCTTGTCACTCATAGGCTCTCAGGTTCCTGCAATTGCACCTAATTCCAGGAGGTCAGAGTGGAGAGACTGCATGGCCTTCATCCTCATCCCACCTGTGAGTGCTCCACGGATGAGTGCTCCCTGGCTCCCAACCGCAGTGGTTACAGCTCACGGCTTCCTAGACAACCTGAAAAGTCGTGTCCCCTTCTCTCTCCTCAGACCTCCCCGTCTCACCCAGGTCTGTGGAGAACCTATCTGAAGACCTGAGTCACAAACCCAGGGGCATCACCAAAGCAGGTGAGGGGGGTGGGGGTCACTGCCTCAGGGCCCTGCACTTGCAGTGGAAATAAATGTGATCTCTGGGGTCTGTAGCCCTCTGGCCCTTCCTGAGCAGAATGGAGACCTCATGTCCATTCTGTCCCCACACAATCCAGCCTCAACCTCGGCGGCTTGGAGGAGTCAGACCTGTCCCTGTTGCTTATTTGTTTTCTGGGGCTGCTGGTGGACTGCAAGGAGACTCAGGGTTACAAAGTCGGGACTTGGATGATATGCTGTAGTCCTTGTTGGCTGGAAGCTTGAAGACCAAGCAGGGGACCCACAGGGTCATCTGCAGGAATCCTGAATCCCTTAACTTGGGGCATGATTGCTCTAGCTCCTACCTCAGTGTCTTAGGGTTTCTAGTGCTGTGGTCAAATACCATCACCAAAGCAACTGGGCAAGGAAAAGGGTTAATTCAGCTTACACTTCCGTTCATCATCCAGAAACTCAGGACAGGAACCTTGAGGCAGGAGCTGATGCAAAGGCTGTGGAGGGTGCTGCTGCTGCCGCCACCGCCACCTGACTTACTCCCAATGGCTTGCTTACTTTTTTAAAATATATATATATATAATTTGAGACAGGGTTTCTCTGTGTACCTCTGGCTGTCCTGGAACTCACTCTGTAGCCCAGGCTGGCCTGGAACTCACTGAGATTCGCCTGCCTCTGCCTCCCAAGTGCTAGGATTAAAGGTGTGTGCCACCACTGCCTGACTCAGCCTACTTTATTGTAGAATCCAGGACCAGCACCCCAGGGATGGCACCACCCATAATGGACTGTGTGCCCTCCCCATCAATCACTAATTAAGAAAATGCCCTACAGGCTTGCCTACAGCCCGGTCTTATGGAGGCATTGTCTCAGTTGAGGCTCCTTGACTTGGAATGCGGCAGGAGTTGTGTCTTCTCAACTTTGCTTCTCTCTCGTAAAAACTCCTGTCTTAGGTCTGAAATCCCATCAGACAAACCAGCTCTTCAGTCCTGCAGCCCTGTCAGCAAACACTTTCTCCCAGGTTCTGGAAGAACAGAGCCAGACAGATACTTGACTGGGGTGTGCTCAGGGGTGGAGCCCGGGCGTGGTCGGGAAGGAGCTGTCAGGCTAGGAGATGGGGAAGGTGCAGTGATTGATGGTTGGGGTTAGTAGTAGGCAGCTTCTTGCTGTTGGAGGAGTCACAAGCCTCTCTGGCTGAGGTGACGCCCCATTGTCAGGCTGTGGCCTTTGGGTCTTGCACTATACAGATGGTTTGTGTGCTTGCTTTGTTTTTTGTTTTTTAATAAGCTGCTATTGTTGGACAGGGCCTGTTTCTAGTGTAGATTATTACTGAAGCAGGATCTCTGGGGACATCACACCTGGTCTATAAACAGTGCTGGAGACAGGAGTCCAGCGTACAGCCCACACATAAAGAATTTTTTGCCATTGTTTTTTTGTTTTGTTTTTTGAAACAGGGTTTTTCTGTGTAGCCCTGGCTGTCCTGGAACTTGCTCTGTAGACCAGGCTGGCTCTGAACTTACAGAGATCCTCCAGCCTCAGTCTCCCGAGTGCTGGAATGGTTAAAAGGTGTGGTACCTTGCCCTCCAGCCTGCAGTAAACAGTGTCTGTAGGTCGTGGGCCCTGAGGCAGGAGGCTGACACCAGCCGCTAGGCTGGTCTCAGGGCCGGGAGGCCTCTGAATGCTTGCGTGCGTGCCTGTGTCTGTGTGTGTGGAGGTCATGGGTCACCATTGGGTATCTCCCTCAGTTGCTCCACTCCAACCTTGTTTTTGGACTCGACTGATCCCTTGTGCCAGGCTGTTCTGCCTGCGAGCCCAGGGGACCCTGCAGTCTCCAGAACTGGGAGTCACTGGGCTCAGCACCATGCCTGGCTGCCTTTCCAGGTGGGTTGGCTCCTGAGGCCCCAGGCATGCCCCCTGCCGTTCTCGCTCTGGTTTTCTTCACTGTAGAGTTTTCTTCACTGGCTCCTGGAGAGGAAAGTGGGGTGGGCTTTGTACTTATGCAGCAATGGCGTCCCCAGCTGTCTCCACTCTGATCTTCACAAGCTGCCCTGTGGCTCCTACAAGGGTGGACAAAGACTAGTCATGATCAGCAGAAGTCCTCGCTGTGGCCCCTGGTCAACAGGAAATCCCAATTACTTCCCAGGTCACACGGCACGGCTCTGGGAAATGAAGCCTCCGTGGCTGGGAACTTCTAGGAGGTCTCTGTCTTTTCCTCAGGACAGCAGTCACTTGCTCTCCTTTCTCCTGTGTGCGACTGGATGCGGCAGCTGTCAGCAAGTCCTGAGGGAGACCATTTGCTCATGAGGTCACCTGTGGGTTGGTTGTGTAAATTGTCCTGTCACGGCCAGTCTCAGGTTACCAGCGTGATATTTCAAAACTGTATGGGTTAGCAAAGTGTTATAACGCCTGACACTTAGAAACCCGAGCGTAACAATGGCTGTGTAAGAAGACACCAGTGGGGAAGTGTTCTAGATTCTTCTGGAACCAACCATCTGAAAGCCGATAACGTTTCACTTTTTCCTTACGGCCCCATTTTACAACCATTGAGCAAAATCTGGCAGATTTTATGGTGATTGACTTTCTGTGGCCCAGAAACCTGACTGGTAGCCTGAAGCCTGGTTTGTGCTACACAACCTCTGTGGGTGGCTTTTCAATCCGGCTCCAGCAGGAAATCTGTGGGCAGAATGGAGGCCCAAGCCCTGATGGAAGCACTTCCCTGGATCAGCTGTCACCCTACAGCGAGGCTCCGTGTGTCAGCTGCCTTCTGATTCTGGGCCGGCTGTTGTCAACCTGGATGAGCAGCTCCCAGCCACTGAGCCGCTATTTTTTATTCTTATTTATTTATTTGACTTTTCAAGACAGGGTTTCTCTGTGTAGCCTTGGCTGTACCGGCACTCACTTTAGACCAGGTTGGCCTCGAACTCTGGAGATCCACGTGTGTCTCAGTCCTGCTCTTTATAAAAGTCTTTGATAAACAAAACAAAAACTAAGGTGTCCATGAGGCCTGCCATTGCTTATGAGGCTTGGCCACTCGGCAGTATTTTGAAAACTAAAATATTTATTTATTTATTGTTTATTCGAGACAGGGTTTCTCTGTAGCTTTAATGACTGTCCTGGAACTCGCTCTGTAGATCAGGCTGGCCTTGAACTCACAGAGATCCAACTGCCTCTGCCTCTGCCTCCCAAGTGCTGGGATTAAAGGCATGTGCCACCACCGCCCGGCTGAAAACTAAAATTTTAAAAGAACTATTTGGTTTTGGTTGTAGCTTAGCGGCAGTAAGAACCACAATGTACAATAAATAAATAAACGTGGAAGTTTACTAATGGTGTATGAAAAGAAAGGGAAGGCTTGCGGAGGCCTGCCTCAGAAAGGGGAGAGGTGAAGAGTGAGGAGCCCTTAAAAACAGATTTTAGAAGCTGTTATTGCTGGGCCTGGTGGCACAGGGTCCTCATCAGAGAGTGGACACAAGCTAGAGTTCCCTGAGAGGAGGGAGCCTCAACTGAGACAAGGCCTCCTTAAGAGCTGGTGTAGGCAAGCCTGAGGGCATCCTCTTAATTGGTGATTGATGGGGAGGGTCCAGCCCATGGTGGGAGGTGCCATCCCTGGACTGGTGGTCCTGAGTTCTGTAAGAAAGCAGCTCCCTCCACGGCCTCTGCACCTGCTCCACCTCCGGGTTCCTGCCCTGTGTGAGTTTCAGTTCTGACTTCCTTCAGTGATAGCCTGCAATGTGGAAGCTTAAGCCAAAGTAACCCTTTCTTCCCCAGGTTGCTTTTGCTCATGGTGTCCCATCACAGCAATAGAAACCCTGTTCCAGAATTCTGTGCATCTGAGTCTCTGTGTCTTACCTTATGCCTCCTCTCACAGTACCTGGCCTATAAAGAAAACTATTTTTTTCAATTTATTTGTTTATTCATTCATTTAATTGTTATTTATTATGTAGACAACATTCTGTCTCCATGTATGCCTGCAGGCCAGATCTTATTACAGATGGTTTGAGCCATCCTGTGGTTGCTGGGACTTGAACTCAGGGCCTCAGGAAGGGAAGCCAGTGTTCTTATCCTCTGAGCCATCTCTCCAGTCCCATAAAGAAAAATCTTGTATGATATTTTGTTTGTGTTCTGACAAATAAAGCTTGCCTGGAGATCAGAGGGTGAAGCTAGCCACTAGCTAAGCAGGGAGGGAGATCTGGCTGTCAGGAGGGGCAGAGGCGGGATCTCTGAGAGGTGAGCCGTCTGGTGGCTGCTGCTCGTTCCTCTGACTGGTCAGCTTTTACCCCACATCTGACTCCAGGCTTTTATTGATAAAGACTGTAGGATCTCGGTCCAGAAAACATCAAGTTTTATCACAGACGAGTGTCTTTGAAAATGCACACGTGGGATTTGGACTGAGCCACGTCAAGACACCACCTAGGGTGCTGGAGGGGTCCCTGCGGGTGTGGAATGGAGTCGCTCGGTTCTTTGTGTGTGAGACCACTTGGGCGGTATTGAGGAGGTAACAGGAC